TGACCACTGAGGAGGCCAAAGGTGATTTTTATTCGCAGACTTTAAACGTCAAATAAAAGTTCTCGACAAATCCTATTCATAAGTTTAAATAATAAGACAGTCCAGCGGGACAAACGTGCAGGTCATTATTAATCACGCTCAGTGTATGATACTTAGGAAAAACGTTTATGACCGTTTGCAGCATCAAATTTAAACAGGCTTTTATTATATCCATGGCAGTCGACTCAAACAAATTCACAACCTTTCAATGACCTTTTAACGCGGGTTTTTCAATCATCCGCATTTAGTCATTGCATTTTAGATCCCTCAAATTTTTCCATTTCTTCAGATTCTTCACTTTAAATTCTTCTGACTCTTAGTCAAGATTATTCGGATTGTTCAACTTTTCGCATTCTTCCATTTCTTAGAATGTTTCAGGGCGTTTCTGCACTTACTACGGTTTTTCTGTTATTTCAGAAAACAACATCAGAACTTTAAGGCCCTTATGAATTTTTCTATTTTCTTCAATCTTACGAATCATCGACTCGTTAGGTTGTTCAGATTCTATAAATTCTTGGAATCTTTCAGATTCTTTACTTTCTTCATACTCATCCATTTTTTTAAATTGTTCAAATTTCTCTCTTCGAATGCTTTAGATTCGTCGGTGGAAAATTATCCACAAGATAGGCTAAATATTTTTCAATCGCAAAAAGCATTTTCAGCTTGGCGGAAATTTTCAAACTTGCCTGCGCGGGCCTCATATTCATAGGCGCCGACTTGACAAAATTTTTGGGGGGGCCCAAACATTTTTACGTACCTGCATAGGGTATCGGGTTACGGGTATAAGTAAAAAAAAACATTTTTATAACAACCCTAACCGACAACCGTCGACTTTTAACTAAAACCAGCAAGTACGAATTTTTGCATTTTTAAATAATGCACTTATCGTAGTAGGTGTAAGGTGCAGGTACCTATCTTTATCCTTTATCTTAGAAAGAAAAACTATGACGTCACATCAGGAGTCAGATTATTGCTTCTTAGAAGTGTCAACGGTTTCCTGCTTACTTGGGACGGTTTGTTATTGCATTTTTGCATTGAGGTAGAGGTATAAAGGTTTATTGTTGAGTCTAAAGCTGATTATGCAGTTTCAAGATTTGGTGTAAGTAACCACGAATACGAATACGGTATATAATTGTCACTTATTCAGAATTAGGGGAGCTGAGCCCCTCCAGTATAAATATTGGAGGGGCTGAAAGTGCTCGGCCACCCCTAAGTCGGCGCCTTTGCTCATATTCGTAAATAGCAGACGCGTTATCCCTTCGGAAAACACCGCAGCATTTTTAAAACAATTTGAGAAGAGAATCTTAAACGTACAAAAATAACCTTATGTCCAACTCCGCTCAATTGGGATGCGCGCTTTTGTAAAGAAAATGTAAAAAAATCTTCTCGTGCAAAGAATCGAACCCGAACCGCCCGATTGCAAGCCGTGTATCCTTAGCACTAGGTCATTATGGCACACATTCAATCGTGATTTAACTGAATACCCATTCCGACATAGTTGTGGGGAAAGGGTCAATTTTCGCATGCATGCGGACGCGTATGCCGTTTACAAATATACACGCGGGCCGTTCGAAATTCGTCCATGGACTACGTTGTGGCCCGCGGGCATGGTGATGAGCAGCCCTAGTTTAGTTCGTTCTTTTTTAATTCGGTAGCTTATAGCGCTGGCACCTGAGTAAAGAAAAATCTTGACGGTTACCGTCAACTTTCATATTTATAGAGATTTTTTTAAACTACAGATGTTTCTAGTAAAGACAAGCATATCTCATATTGTAAAAACCAGATGTGGGCAATGCGTCAACTGCGCAATGTGACCTTTCTTACTGATAGAGATATTTCTTGAAACTTTAACCAAACATTCTTCTAGTAAAGACAAGCATATCGCATATTCCAAAAATCAGATGTGCACATGCGCTAACTGTGCAAAACTAAGTTTCTTATTTATAAGAATATGTATGCCAACTTATTAACGAGCGACAAACGTTTATAATTTTGAACTTTCTGTCCGTCCGTCCATCCGTCTGTGGACACGATAACTCACTAACGGTTTCGAATTTTCCAATACTGTTTTTTGCAATAGGTAGATAATGGTCAAGGGACTAGTTCAGATGCTTCTAGCAAAGGCAAACACATTATCACATATTGTAAAAATCAGACCATAGATGCTTTTAGTAAAGAAAAAGTAGCTCACATATGGGAAATACTGATCTATCTAAACATGGAAAATGGGCTAAAGTTACTGAAAACCTTTTTGCTTGTTTTAGTTGAACTGCAGGTGGAACCATTATTCTAGTAGGTAGATAAAAAGAACTTTGCCGAACACTTGAGAGTAACGCAAATGAACATAATAGAAACGATGTAGTTTGAAACGAATTTGACGTAAAGAAATATTTTGGGCATTTGGAGAGAACCTAGAAGAAAATGGAGAAGAACTTGAAATGAGCTTGAGGCAAGCGAACAAAGAACTACGGTGGTAATTTGAGATTTGCGGACCTTCGGTACGGCTTATAAGGAAATTGGGAAAATGGAGTAGGATTTGTTGTGTGGTGCTGGTGCTAGTCCTGGTGTGTTGTTGGTGGTATTTTCCTTCTTTTTCTTTGCAAATCAGTTTTTTGCCCATAGGTACGTTTTAACGTGCTGACCCGATCTACCTATCTTCGCGGATCTTATAGATTTTGACGTTTAAAGATCAACCCGATTTTTGAAAATCAAACAAAAAAGGTTTTTTTCCATAACCTTTGACGGAGTGATCCGATCTTTACCTGTGTCGGCGATTATTATAGATTTTGGCCTGTATAATCCAAATCGACCAAACACAACGTAAGAGGCGCTTGAAGAATACATGGCGGGAAGGTCGAGGAAAATTTAAAAAGAAAGTTTATGGAAATGTGGAGTGTGTAACGCGTAACTCTTACGTTGCATTTAAAATATATCAAAGACAGATGTTGTCGTAGATATACCCGAGAGAGATAATTTTTGGACTGATGTAGAATCCAAAAAATGTGTAGCCATCAAGATCTGACCACCAGAAACAGAGGTAGATCCACATAAAGTTGTTTCAGATTTATCAGTCAGAGACGATTGTAAGAAATTTTGGTCTATAGAATCCCTAGCAATAAAGATCTGACCACAAAAAGATAGGAACGCAAACTCAAACAGTGTGTAACGCTAAGGCCATTACGTTACTTATTTAAATTTAGAAGCTGTAACAGATCTACCAGTAGAAGACGATTTCTGATCCATCCAATATCCAAAAAAATGAATATTCATAAGATCTGATCACTAGAAACAGAGGTAGAGCCACCAATTTGTAGAGTATGTAATGCCTTAAAAATTTAGCAACTTTTTTTAGAAACTTAAGAGACAATGAATTTGAAGGAATACTTGACGAGGAGCATTGAAAGAATTTGAACTTGAGCAAAGCACTTTATGAAAACTTAAGAGTTCGCCTAAGAAAAAATTGAGCGAAGACAGAGAACTCGAGAAGCAACATGGAGGAACCATAACAACAATTTGGGAGAAGCTTGGAAAGAAATTTGAGCGAGACTTCAGAAGAAATCAATGGAAACTTCGGGAACTTGGTGACCCACCTGAAAGACACAAGCGGAGCCAGAGAAAAAAGCTTTGCGAGAAATTAAAGAGAGAAGAAGAGTTGGATTGAATGCCTAAGCGACTCTATGGCGTATATAGAAGCTGTATATCAATTGTAAAAATTGGTTTCTTTAAAACTTCACAAAAAAAACACATTTCGGTGCTTTTTATTTTATAAACTTAAGGTGGAGAAGGGCTGTGCACGCAAATTCCGCTAATCGACCTTTTCATATTCTTCAGATTCTTCTCATCCTCCAATCTTTGGGATTCGATGCTATTTAACATTTTAAGTCGCGTGTGGTGGAACCAAATCCCAAAAAAAGGAAATAAATACATTTCGAAATCTCCTTCACCCACTTCAAAGATAGAAACAGATAATTTAAAATCTGAACCGCCATTGTATACGTGTAGCTGGACACGACTTAGCCATTCTGGCGATTGCGGCGACTTTTTGAATTATTTTGAGGTTAACTAATACTTTTTATGGAAACGCAAACGTACGTACATAATTCAGACAAACTATAAATAAGGAAATGTGACTTGCGTAGGGTAAAATAAATAATTACAAAACATTTCGAAAAGTTCCAAGTTCACTTACATCCTTCGGCTGCATTAACGACATGACAACCGTGAACATGACGTTTATTAACAACATGGAAATCTTGCCTTAGCTGCCAAACCATAATCGTACCGCGGTTAGAAAATGCTCGTTATACTGCAACATAAATTCTAAACGTTGAGAACGATTTTCGTTGCCGGAAGGAGCCAATCTATAGAAACGGCGGATGGCGTAAATATTTGCACATAACTTCGAATTTTGTCATTTTTTCACCTGGTTTAACAACCTTAGCCGTTTGTATAATGTAGACGATCTTGGTCATCCATCATCCAGCTGAAATAATATTACCTTTTTCACACTGAAAATGTTCTCTCACGCTAAATACTAAATATTACGTCATTAATCAATCTAACAATTAAAAACTGCGAAATTCACACACCTCAAGTCAGGAAACATTAATTATTTACCCGGTCCATATAAATCTCATAATGGGCCACAATTTAAAAAAAATGGCAATTTTAAGAAATACCAAGACGAGATTCGCTCATTTTTGGCACGTTAAGCTAACGGTACCCAATAAAGTCGATAAAAAGTTGACCGCAGCTCAAAGTGCAAATCATTTAAACTAACTCGATATACTATGGAGGAATTTCCTGAACGTTATTAACGTAGGTATATGAAAGAAGTAAAATGAACAATGTGTATAATTTATAACGTTTCTAACAATAAAAGGCAAATAAGTTGAGTTGAAGCGCGGTAATGCGAAGGGTTCGTTTCTCGCACCATCGTTCAAGTCTCCGCATATATTAAGTTTTCTGTGGGATGTTTCTGCTGCTGCATTCGATGATGTGGGATGCTAAAATTTTGCAGGAGTAAATCGCCTTCTATGAGCTCGACGACCGTACCAAAGTGAGTGACTTCGACTTCGCGAGTTCGAGCACACGCATACAAGAACCAATCCAAGCACGGTCTTCACGGCCGGTCGCCTTCCAAGACGCTCAACTTCTTAAGAACCTTCAGTCTGTTACAAGACATACAGTGAGTAGTAAGTGATACACACCCTTTGTGCAAAGTGGAGATAAAGGGGTGATAAGTGAGCCTTGGCGCATACGGCCATGGCGACAGGTGAGTTTTTTCCCTCTGCTTATTTTTTAACACAAATCCATTTCCTGAATAATTTTCCTTTCACCGTGTGCCGTACCCACTTTAACCATATATAGTGTGCGACAGGATTAACTGGCATTTTCGGATTTTTAAAAACTGGAAAAAAACAGTGAACATTCGTGACTAATACTGAAAGTGAAAAACTCGCATGTGTAGTGCTTCGGCAATGGAACAAAATTAAGTAAACTGATAGCAAGTGACTTTTTTGAGCTAATTATGAGGATCATGCGGTGAAATCGAGCCGAGCGACCTAAATCCCGCCACTTCTCTGGTATACTGGGCAAAGTAATCGGTTATTGTGCTAAAGTGATCAAATTACCTTCACAATTATCCCTTTTATCCATCCCGTATCATACAGTCTTTAAAGATCGATTACTTAACGAATCCGATCGATCTTACCCCATTTTTTTAATAACATATGGCTAGGCGCGATCGAAAGTAAAATGTTGGCAAACATTACAATTAGCTTTCAAATATATCGGAATTTAAATTTAAATGTTAATTGTACGAGAAAACCTTGAAGGAAATTCCATATTGTTAATGGACAATCAATTTTGTCACTTTCCAAATACGTTTGTGGTACAGTGATCAAAGTTTGCCAAGCATTTTGCTTAATCGTATACGAAATGCTGCATGAGTTGTAAATTTCCAAACGCCAATAACTGGAAACGAAATTTCAAAATGTTTGGATTTTCTGGGTGAACTAGAAGAGCGATCCGTAAAAGGGGCGATGATATAACCTATGATCTTACCCAATCACGATTTATCAACCGTCTAGAACGTAGAACCTTGAAAGTTGTCATTTTCACGTTTTTAAGATTAAACTGGGTGTTATTATTCAACATTTTAAAATAGATACGCTCATCTCGAGTATTTTGAAAACATAATTAACATCTCAGCCTGCAGCAAATCGGCTTTTTTTGGGAGACACGAATAATCTAATTATAAAGTTACGGCACTCGTTAAGTAACGTTTTGATTAATTTTCCTCTCAGAAGCGTACTTTCTTTGCAGATTGTGACAAATACGAACCAATTCCTGACGTCATTACTTTCTCCGACGTGTAATTAAGTAAACATGTGTTAACTTATTACGCAAACGCACTATTTCCTATTTCAGCCCTCTCGAGCTTATGAAATGGAGAGTTACTAAATTCCGTTCAGACGTCGGAAGTCTGTTTCCTAGCTGAATCTTGTGCAGGTATCGCGAAGTCAAGCGTGGATCTTTCATTTTTGAGGGAAAATCTGGCCGAAAATTTCAGCGTGGGCATACCAGACCTTTTGCGACACCTTTAGCATTTAACATAATTGCAAGGTCTCGCAAATGTTAACCGCGCGCGTTGAATTTTATTTGCATTATGGGATTAAAAGTGGGTGGCACGAAAAGTTAATGTGTCGTATCGAAAATGCCTCTAACTCGATTACTTTCTTTCACTTTCATGTGTGATTAAGTATCTGGGTTTCGCTTGAACATTGTAGCTTGCTGTATAATTATCACAATAAAATCTAAATGATTTTCTGAATCATGATGTAAATGGGAATGTGCGAGGTCGACCACTCTTAAAGTCAAAGACAATTTTGTAATCGGCGAACAGATACAGCAACCTACATTGCAACCCACTGCACTTTGCATCCGTTTATGATGACGTGTTGGTGGTGTACGTGCGATTACCACCACTATCCTTTGAGGTTTGCGAATTACAAGATTGGATTGAATATGGGACTGGGGAAGCCCCTTTCTGAACTTTTCTCAGCTTGCCGAGATCCATATCTTCCAATAACTTTTTGTTTGCCAATTAAATTCCTAGTATCATTGTTGAGGTGGGAAGACCGGCTGTAATATAAATGATCATTATATTCAGTATCGAACCGAATTAGGGTGCATAAGAAAACCTGTCCAATAAAACTAAACTTGTCCTTGCAGACTAATGACTAAGTTTGATCTGAGCTACCAAAGGCAATTAGTAAAGTTCCTTTGAAAATAGTTACATCCTGGCATGGATACTTTATTAAATTCAAATGGATGGTTTCTACGGAGTCCTCCAGTCTTTCATTTCATTAGAATCATTTTTGCATTAGTTCAATTGATCTCCATACTATAAGGTTAATTTTCCTTCATTTGTAAGTTGAAAACGTATAACAGCACAATATTACAAAGAAACGATTTGGTTTTGTCTACGAACTAAAGGTAGCATTGTAAAAATGATTCATGTTTCTGGAAACTTCGGCCGCACCAAGTGATTCCTTTACTCTAATACTTTACAAGCGTAGGGTTATTATCATCATTTTGTATAGTACCAATTAATCTGTCATTTTGTTTGAACAGTTCCATAAACCCTGTAATTACGCCTACTTTTAGAGACGTCATGATACTAACGCGAATCCAACTCAAAAAGTTTCTATTTTTAACTTTTACATCATCTGTCAAGTTAATATGTGCAGTGTAACCTTCCATCAAAACTGACACTTTGGTATATTGTATTATAAAATAATTTATTCCGAGCCATTAAAGCACTCGTCTTGGTTTACTGCTTTCTGGATGAGCAATCATCTTATCATCAAATCATGAGAATCTTGTATATCCAAGCGAATGCAAACTAACGAACATGTATTTTTGAGGATAATTTAGTTTCCCTCCTTCAAAGGTCATCTCATCAAAATATGTAAAAAGCTTTTTTACTTTTTCTTTGATTCAATTTTATGGTTAAAATGTATTTGGAAGATACTACTCTTACCTTTTGTGGTGGCAGTGCAGCGTTTCTCTTCACGTCGGTTTTTTATTTTTAAATCACTATAGGTAATTAATTGTTGGGAGTTAAAAAACCATACATTTTTGAAATTTACTTTTTATTTTATTTTTTTCATATATACTAACTTCCGGTATCACTTTCGGTTTAGCCGGAAATCCATGCAACTTTTTTAAGAGATTTGAAATTTAAAATATGCATATACAAAAAAAATGGAAAAATCTAGCATGCCGTGTGCTGTTAGGATGCGCGTTGTCTGTTATGTTACACGGATAGACCGTATTGCGCAAAAGTAAAGCTTCAAAACTAAACACTGAACAAGTTGATGTAGGTCTTTTCTGTGTGACATGACACACGGCATGCTAGATTGCATGAGTTTTCTAAATAATTTGTATATCAACCATATGCAATTATGCATATTTAAGGTTGTCGCACAGCAAATTAGTTGATCTTTCCAAAAACCTTAAAAAACATTGCATTTGAACAACAAAAGTTGCATCGGTGTGGTACCGGAAGTTTCGCCAAATAAAAAAGATATTGAGGCGACCCTCTTATCTTGAACGCACTGTATAATGATTATAAGAGTATCAACTCGCGTCTTTATATAAATTTATTTGGTTGTAAATGTGAAACTGTCAAACTGATCGAAGCACCACAATACGCTTGCTATTTTAAGCACATTTTCCATTACGCTATTGTCCGCACTTTGTCCGTCTGTACCACGACTAGTCCTCCAGTTTAAACTTTTTCGTTGTGGTTTTTTATACGGTGTAGCACAGATTTTTGGATTAGTCACTTCGTTCCCGAAATATGATTAATTCTGTGCGGGTCGCGAGGAATCACGTCTATACTAGTTTTAACGTTTTTTTGGAGATTTGAACAAACCCTTAACATTTGTAATCCTGGAGAATGTAAAAATATCGTAAACACTTTTTCAAATATTGTTGCATCAGGTATCAAAATGTGACTGAAAGTGTCAATGTATAGTCGTGGTCAAAAGTAATGTCCTCTCTCACATACCTCAACTGTAGAAGAAGTACTAATATGTTTTCCGCGATTTGGTTCAATTTCATTTCAATCTTAGGGACTTTCCTCATTTTGAGAAGATTTTATTTTCAGGGCTTTAAAAGGATAGATAGCCCATTTGAGTGACATCATCCGCAATTTCTGAACGTATTGAATTTATTCAATTGCACGTGTTAAAAATGACCGAAACAATATGTCCAATTTTTCAATTTATAGAAACTTTGATTTTTTAATTTTGTATGTGCGGAGGGGAGTTCTTTTATAAAACCCCACGGTTCCGTTAACTTAAACAATTGCAGTAATGGAGGTTGGGTCAGTTATTTACAATTTTTCTTCTATTTTCGTTCCCTTAAAGACGAGGCGGAAAAAATCAAACGTTCATTTTTATCTTCGCTTTTATCCGTAATAAACTTAAATTTCTTGAGCGTTTTTCACTCCTAAAGTTAAAAAGAACAGAGACTATCGATTTTAAAACCCACCCGCACTGCAAATGCTTATACAGGGTGAACATTTTGTATGGAATACTGATTAAATCCTCAAAACAAGATTTTTCAATGGCATTTTTATGGTATCCAAAATTGTAAAAAGTTTGCTACCGAACTACATACTTTAAATTTGTGCTCAGTTGCGTTCTTCTGAATGGTGAAGGGGAGTTTTCGTTCCATATTCTTAAAGAGTACACTTTTTGGGGTTTGGCAACATGAAAATCTGATATTACATAATCAAATTTAAGAGAAAAACTAAAATTGAGGAAAATAGTTGTGTCAGTGAATTTTATTATTTCTCTAGTTTGTGTTAAGAAAAAAACGCTATTCTTTTGTTAGTCACGTCAACGCACTTGCACTATTTTTCATGAGATACTATTAAAGAATGAGCCTTTTCTTTTAAATTTAAATTAAACCCTTTTTATGCTGCAATATCCAAAAAGTGTACTTTTTAATAATATATAATTAAAGGTGCAGTAATTGACGTTTAAAAAATATGCCCCCTTGACCATTCAGGGGTGCGCCACTGACCACAAATTTAAAGTACGTAGATTGGTAGCGCTTATTATTATTTTAGATACCATAAAAAGCTTCTTTCAAAAACGTTGTTTGGAAGTTATATCAAGTGTTTCAGACAAACCGTTTACCCTGTATCTCAAATAGGTACATTACAAAATTCTTCCCTGTATTCGTCTTTGGTGATTT